AATCGGTGCTCAGACACGGCCAAACGATGCTGCTGCTGCTGTTGCTGGTGCTGCTAGTCCTGCTGCTGCAACTGGTACTGCAGGCCTCCAAAACGTACCCATCGCCACATCGAAACACCATGGCGCTGAAGGACGAACTAGTCCGAGAAGCGCACCCAAAAAATGTCCAATGTTGCTTCTGAAACCCTAGAAACAGAACAGAAAATCGGTGCTCAGACACGGCCAAACGAGCTCTTCGCCACACCGAAACACCATGGCCTTGAAGGACGAACTAGTCCGAGAAGCGCACCCAAAAAGTGTCTAACGTTGCGTCTGAAACTCTAGAAACAGAACAGAAAATCGGTGTTCAGACACGGCCAAGCGATGCTGCTGCTGCTGTTGCTGGTGCTGCTAGTCCTGCTGCTGCAACTGGTACTGCAAGCCTCCAAAACGTACCCTTCGCCACACCGAAACACCATGGCCCTGAAGGACGAACTAGTCCGAGAAGTGCACCCAAAAAGTGTCTAACGTTGCGTCTGAAACTCTAGAAACAGAACAGAAAATCGGTGTTCAGACACGGCCAAACGATGCTGCTGCTGCTGTTGCTGGTGCTGCTAGTCCTGCTGCTGCAACTGGTACTGCAAGCCTCCAAAACGTACCCTTCGCCGCACCGAAACACCAAGGCCCTGAAGGACGAACTAGTCCGAGAAGCGCACCCAAAAAAGTGTCTAACGTTGCTTCTGAAACCCTAGAAACAGAACAGAAAATCGGCACTCAGACACGGCCAAACGGTGCTGCTGCTGCTGCTACTGCTGCTGCTGCTGGTGCTGCTAGTCCTGCTGCTGCAACTAGTGCTGCAGGCCTCCAAAACGTACCCTTCGCCACACCAAAACACCATGGCCCTGAAAGACGAACTAGTCCGAGAAGCGCACCCAAAAAGTGTCTAACGTTGCTTCTGAAACCCTAGAAACAGAACAGAAAATCGGCACCCAGATACGGCCAAACGGTGCTGCTGCTGCTGCTATTGCTGCTGCTGCTGCTACTGCTGCTGCTGCTGCTGGTGCTGCTAGTCCTGCTGCTGCAACTGGTGCTGCAGACCTCCAAACCGTACCCTTCGCCACACCGAAACACCATGGCCCTGAAGGACGAACTAGTCCGAGAAGCGCACCCAAAAAGTGTCTAACGTTGCGTCTGAAACTCTAGAAACAGAACAGAAAATCGGTGCTCAGACACGGCCAAACGATGCTGCTGCTGCTGTTGCTGGTGCTGCTAGTCCTGCTGCTGCAACTGGTACTGCAGGCCTCCAAAACGTACCCATCGCCACATCGAAACACCTTGGCGCTGAAGGACGAACTAGTCCGAGAAGCGCACCCAAAAAATGTCCAACGTTGCTTCTGAAACCCTAGAAACAGAACAGAAAATCGGTGCTCAGACACGGCCAAACGAGCTCTTCGCCACACCGAAACACCATGGCCCTGAAGGACGAACTAGTCCGAGAAGCGCACCCAAAAAATGTCTAACGTTGCTTCTGAAACCCTAGAAACAAAATAGAAAATCGGCGCTCAGACACGGCCAAACGGTGCTGCTGCTGCTGCTGCTACTGCTGCTGCTGGTGCTGCTAGTCCTGCTGCTGCAACTGGTGCTGCAAGCCTCCAAAACGTACCCTTCGCCACACCGAAACACCATGGTCCTGAAGGACGAACTAGTCCGAGAAGCTGACCAAAAAAGTGTCTAACGTTGCTTCTGAAACCCTAGAAACAAAACAGAAAATCGGCGCTCAGATACGGCCAAACGGTGCTGCTGCTGCTATTGCTGCTGCTGCTGCTGCTACTGCTGCTGCTGGTGCTGCTAGTCCTGCTGCTGCAACTGGTGCTGCAGGCCTCCAAAACGTACCCTTCGCCGCACCGAAACACCATGGCCCTGAAGGACGAACTAGTCCGAGAAGCGCACCCAAAAAGTGTCTCACGTTGCTTCTGAAACCCTAGAAACAGAACAGAAAATCGGCACTCAGACACGGCCAAACGGTGCTGCTGCTGCTGCTGTTGCTGCTGCTGCTGCTATTGCTGCTGCTGCTGCTAGTGCTGCTAGTGCTGCAGGCTGCAGGCCTCTAAAACGGACCCTTTGCCACACCGAAACACCATGGCCCTGAAGGACGAACTAGTCCGAGAAGCGCACCCCAAAAATGTCTAACGTTGCTTCTGAAACCCTAGAAAGAAAATAGAAAATCGGCGCTCAGACACGGCCAAACGGTGCTGCTGCTGGTGCTGCTAGTCCTGCTGCTGCAACTGGTGCTGCAGGCCTCCAAAACGTACCCTTCGCATCCCTTCGCCACACCGAAACACCATGGCCCTGAAGGACGAACTAGTCCGAGAAGCCCACCAAAAAAATGTCTAACGTTGCTTCTGAAACCCTAGAAACAAAACAGAAAATCGGCGCTCAGACGGCCAAACGGTGCTGCTGCTGCTATTGCTGCTGCTGCTACTGCTGCTGCTGCTGCTCCTCCTGCTAGTCCTGCTGCGGG